AAGCCTTCTGAACCCATGGGAGAGGCGCTTAGTGGTGAAGGAGAGACAGTGGATGTGGGAAGGGGCTGTCTGGTGGGCTTGCCTTCCCCTGGCACATATTTCCTCACAGGTAGGGAAAGCCGTGCTTGGGCCAGCTTCTGGGTCCGTTCTCCACAGGGCCGGTACCTGCTCAGGGAGGATCAGAAGGGGCATCTTCCCTGTAACTAGGCAATTGCTGTTACTGTTGCCACATTTATTGTTTTTTTTTTTTTTTTTTTTTTTTTTTTCTAGGAAATTTACCAAGTTTTGGCCCAGGGGTTTACATTTCCCACCCCCCTAGCACAAGCTTTCACTATTCAGACTACAAATGGAAGGCACTGAGGCTGTAATTACAGCGGCATTAGCTCAGGAACACGCTGAGAGGAGCAGGAACAGGGCACCTGGGGAACCTAAAAGCAGCCGCGGGCCTAAATTAGCTGCTGCTCCGCGTGCGTTGTCACCCTGCTCTTCTTTGGGGGCCCCCTCCATCCTCACTCTCTGCTCTCCTCCACCTCTGCCCCAGGCTGCTTTGCTTGCTCTTCCCCTCTGCCCGCCAGCATCCTGACAGGTGCAAGAAACACAGAAGAACAACCTGGCTGGTGTAGAGGTGGTGCCCCCAGAATAGCCTTTGTGTGGACGTGTGTCCTTGGATCTCGATGTGGGCAGGCTGGTTTGGCTGCAGCTTAGGGGACAGCTTGGGAGGCCGCACCCCACCGGGGACAAGCCCTCGCTGTGCTCTCCTGGGCCTCACTTTCGGTCTCTGTGTCCAGGCATCCTGAATTGCTGTCAGGTCCTCCCAGCTTTTGCCCCAGCTCTTTGTTCCCTTGGCCTGGGACCCCGTTCCTACTCTTTTTGCTTCCTCTGACTCATCCTGTAGGTTCAGGCGAGATGTCACTGCTTCTGTGACCCCTGGTCTGGGCAGGATGCTTTCCTCTCTGCTGCTACAGCACCCTGACTTCCCTGATGCACAGCTTAGCACTGCCATGGGCCACTCCCCTGTCTCCAGCTGGGTCTCTGGGGAAGTGCTTGCACCTAGTAGGCCTTTAGTAAAGAGTTGAAAACCAACCTTGATTCCTTTTTGGCTTTAATCCCCCTTTTGCTTTCACAACAAGAAGAGAGGGAACTTTTTCTGCCATTCTAGGGCTGTTGTTGGCAGGGTGTCGAGGTGAGGCCCAGTCTTCATCCATTGTCTCCTGACTTTCACATCTGAGTCCTTCTGGACTGGGCCTTTACATTGATACTTGATTAGACATGGCCTTGTATTGACCACTATTGCTGGCTCCACATCAGTTTGGCTTCTTTAACAGTATTAGCCAACAACTTCTAAGTACTTGTTACATATTAGATATTGTTCCAAGTACATTTATTCTTTCACTCGTCAAATTTGCATTCAACACCTACCATGTACCAGGCATTGGGAAGTATGGATATGGCAGTAAGTACAACCAATAAAGCCCCTGCTTTCAAATGGAGTTTATATGTAACACAAACAAACAAATGACTAAGGAAGTGTATACTCTGGCAGATGGTGATGAGTTGTGGGAAAAAGAGATCAGAGAAAGGGTAAAGGGAGTGACTTGTTACATATATGGTCGGAAAGGATTCACAGATAAGGTAACATTTGAGCAGAGACCTGAAAGAAGTGAGGAAAGGTCACGGAGGAGAGCTTTCCAGGAAGCGGAAGCAGAAAGTGCGAAGGCCCTGAGGTCAGGGCACATTCCAGGAAAAGCAAGGAGGCCAGTGTGGCTGGAATGGAGGAAGTGACCAGGAGGAGGAGGTGAGGTCACATAGAGCAGTGCTGGCTAACAGAAATATGAGTCATCTATATAATTCTAAGTGTTCTAATAGCCACATTAAGAAAGTAAAAAGAAGCAAGTAAAATTAATTTTAACCATACATTTGCTTAATATATTTTCAGAATATTATTGATTCAATATATAGTCAAACTAAAAAATTATTAATGAAATGCTTTATTATTTTTTTTTCATAGTGAATCTTCAAAATCTGGAGTGTATTTTCAAAATCTGGTGTGGACATCTCATTTTGGGCTTAGCCACATGTGGCTAGTGGCTACCATATTGGACAGCACAGATATAGGGCCTTGAAGACCAGGCCCAAGCCTCTGAATGAGGGGAAGCCATAGGAAGCTTTGAGGCCTAGGAGCATTATCTCTCTGCCTTATGTTCTAGAAGGTTCACTCCAGCTGCGATGAGAGGATTGTTTTGAGGCAGGGGGTGGGGTGGGTGCGAGGATAGAGCAGGGAGCCTAGGAAGGAGGCTTTTGCCAGGATGTGGTGATGATGGCTTGGACCACACTGGGAGCAGCGGTGGCGGTGAGAAGTGGTTGGATCCCGGATGTATTCTGGAGGTGGAACTGGTTGGTTTTTCTGACGTGGTGTGTGAATGAGAGAGGAGTCAAGGGAGTACCTAGAATTTTAGCCTGAGCTAGTGGGAGGGTGAATTGTTTTCATACAGATGAGGGGAACTGGGGTGGAGGAGCAGCATTGGGGAGAATGTGTGGGTTTGGTTTGGGGCCTGTTAAGGTTGAGATGCAGTGTCAGCCTTTCAGGTAGAGTGGGCAAGTAAACAGGCAGCTGGACGTGTGAATCTTGTACTCACGGGGAGGCTTGGCTGGGGACAAGCCATGAGTGCCCTGGGAAGTGGGTGCACATAGAGAAGAGGGGCTGAGCCCTGGAGGAAAAGGTGGATAGTTGTGAAGGTGCATGCAGGGTGGTAGCAGGAAGCCCAGTGGAGAGGGCAAGACTGTGAGGAAAGAGGGCCAGATGGGATAACCTGCTGTGTCTAGTGTCCAGATGGGCTGAGGGGGAGGAAGCCCCAGGATCCCTGACCACTGGCAAGAGGGGGAAGCAGACGCTAGGCTGCAGTGGGTCCAGGTGAGACCAGAAGGGGAGAAAGAGATTGCTGGTATGGATGACTCCTTTGAGAGCTTTTGCTCTAAAGGAGAGCAGAAAAATAGGATTACCTTAATGGTGGCTATATGGTCACAAGGAGGCTTTTTTCCCTTAAAGATGGGTGATATAGTAGCTGATGGGGATGATCTAGTAGACAGAGCAAAATTATCATGCAGGAGAGAGGAAAAAATGAGCTATCTCATTCACACTTACAACCGTGCTATGTGCTAGGTACTATTTTGCAGATGGGGAAACTGAGGCAAAGGAAGATTCAGTCATTTGTCCAAAGCTGTACAGCTAGTAAGTAGCAGGGCCAGGAGTTGAATACAGATGGCTCAGTTCTATAACACCCAGTCTTAACTGCTATGCTACTGCTTCTTGGTTTCCTAGCTAGATTTGTGAGCTCTTTAAGAATGGGGCCTCCTCTTACACATTTCTATCTGACACAGCACCTAGCCAAGAGAGGGCTGTGCAGAGGTGGGGTTTGCTAGATCTTTAATGACCAAGAGACCTGAACACCAGGAATGGTGCTGGGAATGCTCGGACACCTGGGCTGGCCACGGGAGGCGGGGTGTGGGGCATGGTGTTAGCTTGCCTCAGTTTGTGTCCTTCCCACCACCTCCCGGGACATTGCATGAAGTGGATGGTGCTCAGGAAATACTGGCTAGATGAAGGATGAGTGAAAAGGCTAAGGCTCATCCATCCTAAAACCTAAGCTGATGATTCTTCTGGTGTACACAGTGTTGGCATGACCTGGTTCCTGCTCTGGTTTACCACCAGTGTGCTGGGTGGCCTTGCCCACTCACTGCGTCAGTTTCCTTAGCTGTAAAATCAAGAGGTAGGGCTAGGTGGCCTCCCATCTGGCTCTCCCCAGAATGTCTCAGGTGGGCATGTATGGGCTGGATTCCTGCCTCCCTCCAGTCTGTCATCAGGATGGACAAGAGGCACTGTGGGTGGGGTCAGCTGGCAGTGGAGGGTCAGGTGGTCCTTAGAAGAGCCGAGACTTGTGGGATGGGGTAGCCAGCACAAAGGGAACTTTACAGATTGTGGGAATCCTGCTTCGTGTCCAAGACATCTCACTCCAATGGCAGAGCTCAAAGCCATGGTGCTAACGGCCGAGTCCCAACATCTAGCACATGCGCCCTTTAGTTGGTTATGCGCTTAGCCCCATTAGAGTCTGAGGCTGGACTTCAGCCTCTTACCTCTACTTCCGGGGCTCCCACCTGGATCTTCCTTTTTAGGGGTTCTCCATGCTAACTAGCTGCTGTAGCACCCCTGCCATGTGGCATTTTGAAATGTGTAGGGACAGTTTTCAGTGGTCCTGTGGTGGGGGTGAGGGTGGTGGTAGTGGTGGCTGCTGAAGATCCCATGATGAGAATTGTCCCTCCCTAAATGCCAGCAGTACCCAGAGCAGAAGCCTGTTCAAGTGTGCCATTGCAGGGTGCTCAGGGGCCTGGGAGCCCATCTTGCCTCAACTGCCACTCAGTTGTGTGATCGTGAACCAGTCATTTTATTTCCCATTATCCACTTTTGTGAACAGGGCATGAACACCTACCTAGTTGCTTGCCTTTAAAAAAAAAAAAATGTTTATTTTTTTTATTTTGAGAGAGAGAGAGAGAGCAGGCACACCCGAGTCGGGGAGGGACAGAGAGAGAGGAAGAGAGAGAATCCCAAGCAGGCTCCACTGTGTCAGCAAAGAGCTGGGTGGCTATCTCACAAACCGTGACATCATGACCTGTGCTGGAATCAAGAGTCAGACACTTAACCCACTGAGCAACCCACTCCCTGCTAGTTGCTTGCCTTTTGGGTTGTGGTAAGTTTTAAATGAGCCTGGATTAACATTCCTCATCATCTTGACTCGCCACAGGTAAGGCTGGCTGTGCACCAGGTGCTGTCCTAACCTGTGTATTCCCCCATTTTAATCCTTACTGCCTGTTGGGTGACCCGTTTCACGGAGGAGGAAACTGAGGTAGAGGGCATCTTGAACCCTGGGAGGTGTGCCCAGTGGGCCTGTGGCGGTGGTCTTCCCGTGCCCCTGCAGGCCCATGACCTCCCTTTCCTTCACCCCCAGGGACAGGGGCAGACCCGGTGGCCAGTGCCAAGAGCAACCACTGCCTGGATGCCGCCAAGGCCTGCAACCTGAACGACAACTGCAAGAAGCTGCGCTCCTCCTACATCTCCATCTGCAACCGCGAGATCTCTCCTGCGGAGCGCTGCAACCGCCGCAAGTGCCACAAGGCCCTGCGCCAGTTCTTCGACCGCGTGCCGGGCGAGTACACCTACCGCATGCTCTTCTGCTCCTGCCGAGACCGGGCGTGCGCCGAGCGCCGCCGGCAGACCATCCTGCCCAGCTGCTCCTACGAGGACAAGGAGAAGCCCAACTGCCTGGATCTCCGCGGCGTGTGCCGCACCGACCACCTGTGCCGGTATGCCCGCCCGCAGCCCCCACTCCGCGCTCCCGGGCCCCAGCGTGCGCGCGCAGACACCTGCCTTCCGCTTGCTCGTTCTGACCCGCGTTTACGGTTTGTCTGCCTTCTCTGTGTTCACTCGTGCTTAGCACTGTGGGAATCCACAGTGAACAACCCAGCAAGCATAGAATTTCATAGACCCTAGAGCCTGCTGGGCTGAGAAGGGACCTTCAGTGAATTCGGCCCCACTCCTGAAGGAAACCGCCACCTCATGTCCCATTGAGGTCATGTGGCGGGCAGGATGGGGCCCTCCTAAATCGCAGAGGCAGCTCCTTACACACGGAGAGCAGAGCCATTCTGGTGCTGGGGCAGGGTGTGGGTTTGAGTCTGACTGCCCAGGTTTGACTTTTCTACTTACTAGCTGTGTGACTCGGAGCAAGTTGTAAAAATTTCCCGAGTCGCTGCCATTCCTTCACCTGTAAACAGGAGTAAAAATGTCCACATTTGGTTATTGTGAGGATTAGGTGACATGATGTGTGTCGGAAGGTTAGCACAGAGCCTGGCGTATACTCCATTTTGATAAGCATAGCCTGATTATTAGCAAGGTTTTTTTCGGTTGTCATTACCGTGAGTTGAAATTTGCTTCTGTATAGTTCTTATGTCTTCCCTGTTTGTTGTTAAGCATTTGTTTAGTCCCTGTTGCATCCAGCGCTCAGTTCTAAGACCTGGGTGTGCAGAGGTGAACATTGTGCTCTCTGAGGAGCAGCCTGTCCAGAAGGGGACACAGACAAAGCAGGGATCCCAGTGCAGTGGCTCTCAGATGAGGCAGCATGGGGTAGGGACATCTGCTTTAGTCTGGGGCTCTAGAGGAGGGGGCCTTGAGCTAAACCTTGAAAAATGAGAAGGTGAAAGCCAGGGAATGTGTCAGCTGGAAAAGCATATGCAAAAGGCTGGAGGGTAGGAGAGAACCTGGCCTCATGGGGAACTGCAGATGGTGGGTGCACATGGAGTGTGGGTTGTGAGGTGGGGAGGCCACAGGTGGGGCTGCTACAGAAATAGAGGCCATGGTGGCGCAGAGATATTCAGAGATTGCTTACTGTGTCCTGGATGCTGGTTTATTATATGGTTTGTCTAATTTAATTCTCACAACAAAACTACTGGGTAGATAACTATTATCATCTTTATCTGTCAAAAGAGGAAATAGAGACATAGAAGGTAGCTTGCCTAAGGTCACACAGCTCATACATTTCAGAGCTGGGATCCATCCATCCACACTGCTTTTTCCAGTGTAGCATCCTGGCCTGGACTCAGATAGTGGCTGTAGGGATGAACAGAAGTGTATCATTTCAGATATGATTGGTAAGTAGACTTGACAGGACTGGGTGATTGGTTGAAAGTTCCCTGGAGGCAGAAGTCATTTCTGTTTTGTTTACTCCAAACCTCGTCCTACACGTAAAGCCTGGCACATGGTGAGCACTCCACAGACGTTTCTTGAATGGATTAAATGAACGGTGACCACTATGTTTCCTAGTTAAGTAATTATGGGATGAAGGAGCCATTCAGTGTGGGGGGGTTTTGGGTGTGTAGCATTTGAGGTGCCTGGAGGACCATTGCCATGCCCCAGGCAATGTCTGGGGCATGCTCAGTAAAGAGGCTGGAGTGGAGAAGTGGGTTTGGGAGTTGCTGGGCACCTCATTGGTGATTAAAGCCCCAGCAGTGAGTGAAATGGTGCAGGGTGGATTGGTGGAGCCCAAGAGGGAGTCTAGGCTGGAGAGGCCTACAGATTTGGGCATCCTCAGTGTTTAGGTGATGAGAGAAGCCTTTGGTGTGGATAGTGAGGCAGAACTCTTCTGGAAATACCATTTGTTCAGGGAAGGGCAAAGGAAGTGGGGCTTGTGGCAGGGAGGCTTGGAGGGTGGAAGGATAGCCAGGAGGAAGTGGGCCAGAATCCAGGAGAGAGGGGTTCCTGAGGGAGGGGGTGACTGAGACATGGTGCCTCATGGTGTGTACATGTGTGTACAAGAGAGTGTGTGAGTGTGCCTGTGAGGAAGTGTGAGAGTGTGTTCATGGGGGGGGGGCGTATGGATGTGTGTGAGTTTGAGAGTACATGAGTGTGAGAGGGAGTGTGTGAATCTGTGTGAGTGAGTGAGTGACGGGTGGAAACCAGCTGTAGTTGGTTCAGGCATGGCAGGAGGCAGAAGTGGAGGCAAACCCTCATGTTGAGGACATGCACGCACAGGAGAGAGAGAGAGACACACACACACCCCGTGATAGAGGCTGCAGGGGGAAGAGAGGCCTCTTTCTACCATGGGAGTGCCGGTGGGGTGGGGAGCGTGTTCGATGAAGGGGAAGTGCTGTTTTGGTTTGGAAAACAAGCACTGCCTGAGTTCAGAGACAGGCCTGATCCCAAGAGCTCGCTGCAGGGCTTGGGAAAGCTGTGAAGATGGTAGGCTTTTCTCTTTTGCTTACTTAAAAAAAATAGGCCTTGTCACTTACAGACACTGATTGAGGTGATTTAAAACAAACCACACATACAACAAGAGGATGGTTAGAGGCAGAAACCCAGGGCCCTGCAAAGGAAGTCGGGAGCCAGTGCCTCAGGTGTGCGATCTAGCAGTCACTGAGCTGGAGCTCTGTGCCTCGTGGTGGCTGGGATAAAGTGGGACCATGATGGCCCACACGAGTTCCAGAGCACACTGGAAGGGAGCATGGTAGTTCTTGAATGGACATAACATCCTCTCCTTCTTCTAAGTGCTGACATGACCCACCAGGCTGTTACACATAGTGTATGTGGAATGACAGATGGATTAGGAGCTGGGCCTGGGAGGGAACTGGAGGGCCAACCTGAGTCCAAGTCCAGTGACGACAGGCTGGAACATGCAGGAGCCTGTGCGCACCTGTGGGCCAGGTGCACCAAGGCCAGCGGACGAGCCGGCCTCAGCCGTCTCCATGAGGAGCGGTAGCAGACAAGCCACAAGAGCACCAGCATCCCCTTCATGAGTCCTGTGTTAAGGGAGGACAGTGTGTGTGGTTCCTCAATGTGGGGGTGGGGGAGGTCCATGGTCCTGAGTGAGAGGGGGGGAGTTGAGAGCAGGATAATTTCAGGCTTCTAGAACATCTGTGTCTGTTTAAAGAGCCGGAGGGGTTTTTTTGTTTCTCCAGGGGTGAAACAAATTCCAGGGGTGGGGGAAGCCAGAAACGGGAGATGGGGATTAAGCCTCCTATTGTAGAACCAGAAGGGGTGTTTCAATGAGATTAAGGGTTGAGAGAGTCTGGAATGAGGCGTCCCTGGAGCTAAGGGCTGACAGCCTCTGAGAGGCACTAAGCCAACTGGAGGAGGCTCCATGCAACAGGACATAAATTTAGACAGCGATCGCAGGACCCTCCAACAGTGCAGTCTCTTCATGTTTGAATTCGGTCAAGTGTTGAAGTTCTAGGTGCTCCAGGATGAGGTGACAGGGTGAGCTCTCGGTCTAGAACCGGGCATTCCTCTAACCCTCCCTGCCCAGCTCCCATTCCTGAACAGATTTAAAGTGTGGTCCTGAAAGTGGTAGGACAGGGCTGAAGGAGGATCTGCATCCAGGATGGGGCTGGCAGGGCCTGGAGGTTATAAAAGCCTGGCCAGGTGTTCTCTGGGGAGCTTTGCCTATGACTCAGAGCTGAGGCTTGAGGTACACTGGGGTGAAACAGATTGATAGGTGGTGGGTGGAAGTGGTCACTGTGGTCACCCTAGAGCTGGCAGACCTGCCCCTGGTCTCCTGAGTGGTCCCAGGTGGGCCATTTCACTCCTCATGCCCTTGGTTTCTTCACTGATCACATAGGGATGCTCACCAGTCTGCAAGGACCCTTCCCAGGTCTGTGAGTCTGGGTTTGGGGGCAGCTTTCTCCTCCTGCACCTCCACTTGAGGTATATTTCTGGGAAGATGAGCTCTTGGCACAAGAGAATACAACAGAGACCCCTTGTTGGGGTAGAAGGCATGGGAGGGCAGATTTGAAGGACCTAGGGACAGGCCTGGAAGGGGAGGAGTTGATGTTTTTCCATGTTCTTGCAAGCCTGACTTACGGACCCATGGACCCTTTCCCCATGTCACGGAGGAACCCAGGAGGTGATGGGTGGCTGGAGGGGGGCATGAAGAGAAGAGGTAGCCCAGACTTTGTTCTCCATATGCCTAGGGAGAAGCACCCTCCCTTTCTTGCCTAGCATTGGATCCTTCCAGGTTTCTGCCCTCCAAGATAGGCACCACAGGTGGAAATCTTTACTGTGAAATGGGTGAGCTCAGTGCCGTGACGTTTAGATCAGGAAACGGAGACCCCAAGCCTTCCTTTCCTGGTCACTTTAATGGACAAAACTGGCTTTGATGGGGATCATGGGAAAGCTTCTTTGGGCTGACTCTTGGAGAATGAGGCTCTTGCTGGCAGGCATCTCTTGGGACATGCCTGGTGCTCCAGTGCTATAGCACCCAGTCCTCACTTTGCCAAGCCTGCCTGGCCCCCTTCGCTTTCCTGCTGGGGGAGTTGGGGCCTGGCTATGCTTCTCTCCGAGTGAATCTTGGCCCAGGATTCCTGGGGGACAGCTCTGCCAGAGCCCACCTCAACTGGCACTGCATTAAAGCAAGTCTGTTGATCTGCTTTGTGGCATACCCAGGGGCAGGCCTTGTACATCCCCAGTGTGATATTTAACAGACTCCACTGTGCTGTCTTATGAAATGTCACTAAACACAAGGTGTTGGGGTTTGAAGAAGCCTTTGGTTAAACAAGGACATCTCTGTGCTGGGGCCAGGGTTTATGGGAAGCACTTCTGAATCCTCCCCTGACTCTTTGGAGCAGGATCAGCGTGGAAGCTTCCTGCTCCCTGGCTCCAACTGGCCCTGAATTTGAATGCTCTGTCTCTGGCTTTTGTCTGGTTTGTATCCCATGAGCCTTTAGAGCTGTAAACTTAAGTCCAGGAGAGGCTTTTCCTTTAAAAGTCTTCTGATACAGAGTCTGGAAAGCCCAGAGAATCTCTTGGAATGAATCCA